CAGTCTTCGAAAAGGATTTCTCCCAGTGGTCAGAAACAAATAATAGAAGTTGTAAATAAACATCTTCAGACACTCCCAGAACGAGATTTGAACCCTTTATGCACTTAGAATACCACCCCTGCTCCACGTTCTTCACATCCAAGAAATTCAAAACTTGGTTGTACTTCTCCTTATCAAAGGCAGAGTTGAGAATGCACTGTCCATGTGAAGAGATATTGTGGAGTTTGACCCCCTGCTTCCTAGCCTCTTTCAACAAGTTCCAAAAGGAAGACCATAGCCTCCCAACTTGATGTGGCTTCCGGAAGACCTTCGATTTGTATACGACTCACATGGAACTATATCCTCCTCCAGCAGCTTTGCTTTGATAGGATCCCTTACAGTAGCATTCAGGCTTGCATATGAAGAAGTGGCAATAGGCAAAAATCGGAACATCTCAATCAGGCTGGAGACCGGAGCATCATCACTGGCCTTCACTAACGAGGAGAAAGCACTCAAGAAGGCCAATGGAACACAGTCAAGGATTCCTTTGTTCCATCTGTCGTCTGCAACAATGGCTTCCCTGGATGATGTTAGTAGGAAATCTGCTTGGATGATAAATGGGAAGTTGGTGACCATCTCAGTAGGTAGAAAAGCATAGATCCCGGGAGAGATATTTCCCCTGTTGAGACGCTCCCCATGAGGAAACGCAAGTGTGATTACCCAATCTTCAACGTCCATTCTCCGATCAACCCGACATTCCTTCTTGACTGGGAACCTTTGTCTCCAGATGTGATAACTACACTGCTCATTAGATCTATCTTCATCAGCAGATAGAGTAAGTGCATATGACTGGGCATTAATGTTTTTCTGTGTCACAAGATCCTTTTCACTAGAAATGGAAATGGTGCTGAGAGTATTGAGCTTCCTTTCAGCATTGTCTTCACTGACAGAAAGCTTTCTAATCTTGGACAGAAAAAGGAGAAGCTCTGGGTGAATCTTTGAAAGTTGTTCCCTCACAGCATTCACCTTGTCAGATTTTAGAGGCAACACCTTCCACCAAGGTGGTGCTGGGAAGTGCAGTTGAAGAACCATAGATCTGTTTTATGTGTGCAAGAACTGCGTTTGCATCATCCAACCATTCAGGGACTATGTAGCCGATTTTGCACTTTGCACATGGTTCCTCACAGAACCGAATTTGATATCCCTTGCTGATAATGTAAGGTTGGGATGTGATCATGAAGACACTCTTAAAGCCAATACCTGAAACAGAAATATATGGAAATACACTCTTAAAGCCAATACTTCAAACTTTCCCAAGTTTAATTTAATGAAATAAATGTGGGTCATGATTTTTTTTATTTCTAAAAAATTTGCCTCTCTTTCTTTACATCGGTGAATACAAGCCATTTGTTCTAAAAAATTTGCTTCTCTTCCTTTGTTCTTCTCAAAGCCATTTAATCGCACAGGCACAACATCCATAGCAGCAAGAATAAGTAGCACAATACCCAAATTAGGAGAGAACAGTTTATCTCATTTTACTTTCACAGTTGCAAACCCTTTCAAGATCTATCCAACCCTAGGCCCCCCTCGGATTCACCTAAACTGATCAACCCGACAGAGCCAATTTCTACATGCAGTTCCCGGTTTAATCCAGTGGATTCTATTAGACTGGAAACTGTTACAAACGGGATAGAACCCACTGAAAAAGATTGGTATACGGGAACGGCAGCCACCGCAGTGGAACCATACTGAGGTGCAGCTCCGTTGGAGCAGCAGCGACCGGCGGCACATTTTCTGATTTTCCGAAGGCCCTGAAACAGCGACGAGTAATGCCTTCGGGTCTCTACTCTAGGAGGAAGTGGAGTTGGCTTGCCACGCTAAGTTCAATTTAAGTTTTTACTCCGTATTACGGTATTAGCGTTAAAAAGAAGAAAGTCCTCCACCCCTTGGGTAAAAACTTAAAAAAAAAAATTAATAAAAATTAAATAAAAATAGTCAGTGAAGAAGGAAGTGGGGGACAAATGGGGTACACCTTTGGTGTACCCATAGCATTGCTCTAAAAAGAATGTTCCTTCAAAAAAACAAAAAAGAATGTTGTTTCAAAAAAAAACAGAAGGAATGTTTGTACCCCATTTAAAAGTGATGAGAACTCTTATTGGGCTACTTGCATAAGTTTTCCCGTTGTTTACAAAAAAGACATCAAAATTGTTTTTATTTTCAAAAATCATTTGTAAAATTTTTATGGTTTCTAAATAGAGCACAGATGATCACTTACCTATTTTCAAAGTAAAAATGATATTTATGTCCTTTCTTTTCTTCTATCTTTAATTTTCATTGTTTTATTTTCCTTTATTATACAAATATATAAAATAAGATATACGCTCTCCATCTCAAATTGAAATTTTTGAATTATGTATTTTTAAAAACAAAATTTTTTGGGGAATGTTACAAAAGAAAATAAAAAATATAATATTATGTACAAAGTAAATAAAATAATTGAAAAAGGTAATGAAAAGAAAGAAAAATATAAAATATAGTCTTTTCGTTAACTCCGTATTATGTTTCATCTTTCTGTTCTTCATTTTTTAAAGTCCTTAAATAAATTATTTTACAATTAAAAACAAATAAGTTAGAATTTTTAATTAGAGATAGAGTGAGTATATGTTATCTAATTTTTTATTTTATTTATTATACTTTTACTTATAATAAAAAAGTGCATTTTATTTCATTTTTTTATTTTTCATTTTCTTTTGTAATAGTTTCTAATAAAAATATTTTTTTTGAAAAATAAATAAATGAAAATGTTTAATTTGAGAAAGAGGGAGTATATTTTATTTTATTTATTTGTATAGTTAAAAATAAAAATAAAAGAGCGAAACTTGAAGATAGAGAAAAACAAGACATAAATGTCATTTTATTTCTAAAAATAAGCAAGAGGGTGTTTGTATACAATTTAAAAACCACATGGGTTTTACAAATAAATTTTAAAAATATAGGGGATTTTGAAGCCCCTTTTATAAACCACGGGGGCACTCATACTATTACCCCAACTTTTGTTCATTTATTTTGGATCGATTGTTTAATTAAATAAAATATTTTTATCGTCTCTTATTTTGGATAATTTTTTAATTGGTTTTTAAATACTTCCTCCAGCCCTTTTTAATTACAAGTTTATTTTCTATCTCTTCTTGATAACTTTTATTTGTTTGTGCGTTTTAATTGATTATTTGATAAAATAAAATATTCTTATCACCTTTTGTTTTGCAAAACTTTATTTTGATGTAAATTTTTAATATGTAATTTTTATTTTTTATTGATGTACCAATTTGTAAATTTAAATGATATAAAAATCGTGAGATTTTACCTTCTAATTCATTTTAACATTGTTAAAATGAATTGGAAAAAAAACTTGTGTGATGTCAGAGAGATTTTGGAACAAAGGAAATACAACTCTATGATAGAGTCTAAAATCTTGTGTTATGAGAGTTTAAGAGAGCCTAATGAAGTGTCAAGTAGAGGTGGCAATCGGGTCAACTAGATCGGTTTCAAGTTGGATTTTTTTGGTTCGGATATCTTTTGGATATATGTTATAATCGGTTTGAATCGGTTAAATTTCGGTTCGGATTTGATCCGGTTCCATACATTTTTCGGTTTGGTTCGGTTTCGAGTTGGTTCAGATCGATACGGTTCGGTTATAAATTGGTTCAGATAGATTTCGGTTCGGATACAATTTGAATCGGATATATTTCGGTTTGGATATATTTCGGTTTCGAATCAAATATATTTTGGATATTTATTATTTTCTAATTAAAATTTAATTATATGTTTCTTTTTATGTTTTATCACATTTATCAATATATCATCAATTCAATACCTCATATTATTTTATATTTTTTCTAATTATATTATCTCTATCCTAAATAATCTTCCATTTTTGACTTTTTAGTCATATTTTACTAATTTGGACTACAAATTATGAAAAAGCTTATATTTAATTATGATCTAAATTTAATATAATTAAGTTGATTTTAAAATTTGGTTTTGATACACCAAATTTTTCTCACATCTACTAATATATTTATGTTTATAAATGAAAATATAAAAGATAAATTCAAATAGTGTTACATTCCAATTGAATACAATTTGGTAAAAATTGAATGAAATTGGATGAAATTAAGCTAATTTTATTCAATTGAATACAAAACTTATAAATTATTTGAGTGTATTTGGTTGAAATTATATAAAATTAAATTTAATAGAGTCAAATATAATTAATTTTACACCTAAATGTAATGGTGTAAATCAATAAAAATGATAACAGTAAATGCTGCCGCTAGAAAATCTTTTAAAATATTTTATTCCCTTTAATTTTGTTATTAACAAAATAGTTGACTTATTTTATTCATCCAAGATTTTATATGTATAACTTATCTTCAATCTCTAAATATAATAAGTTTAAGGCATGAGATTTTGTAATTTTTTTTCAAGATGGTAATCCATTTTATGAAGGAATGAGCAAGTAATTTAATTAGTTCAAATGATAAAATAAAAGTAAAAATTTAAAAATATAATATGCTTATTGAAAGGCAAACACAGTTCCAAATTTATCGATTTTAATCCTAATCAGGTTCAGATATTATTGGTTTCAAATCTAATCGATTTCGGTTTTATCGATTTCGGGTATTATCGATTTCGGATCTAAAAGTACTTAATTCACATCTTTTTTTCATTTTTTAAAATTTAGACCCATTTTTGTACTCCGTATAAAATAAACTCAAGCTAAAGGTGAAATAAGTGGGCAGGAATATAGGATATATTTGGAAACAAGTCTAGCGTGTCTAAAATTAGCATTTCAAAATTAATCTAAAGAATTAAATTTTTATTCAAAACACTAAAAAAACTAATTGCAAAGATTCTTATATACTCCCTCCGTCCTCCATAGATCTTCCCATTAGCTCTTTTTATTTGTCAAACATAGATCTTCTCATTACATTTTTTAACTTTTAAAATACCACAACTATTCCCACTTACTTTATTTATTACACCTTATTTAATACACCCCACTCATTCTCATTAAGGGTATTTTGGTAAACTTTCTCTTTTTCAACTCTCTTTAAAAATCATCAAAAGTCAAAACGAGAAGATCTTAGGAGAAAGGGAGTATCAAACATGGCCATATAGACACGTATAATTAATGTAGGCAACCATCGTACGAACCTTTCTCCCCAATGTAGCCATTGTTGCGGTTGCCTTTCTTGGTTGAACGCCCGACGCTGCAAATGGAGTCGATGTTCTTCCGGGAGAAACCCTTCTCGTTGTTGAAGATCAACAGCGTCGCCTCCGCTCCAGTCTCCGTTATGTCCTTCGAAGTGATCACGAATTCCAGCCTGGGCTCCACACCCGCCTCGTACTCGTTGTCCTCTGCATTCTGCACCATGCATGCACCCAAGTCGTTCTCAATACATTTTTTTAATTAATCAATTACATACATATATACTTGTGCACATAAATAAATTAGTACGAAACTATACTTTGTATTAGTACGACATACATACTTGGATGAGTTCCATGAGGAAGTGGACGTCCTTGGAGTAGAGCTCGGCGGAGAGGTTCTTGACGGCCTGGTGGAGGTCCTCCGTCAGCGGGTTGGGTTCGCCGCCGATTGAGAACTTGCTCCTCCGGATCTCCTCTACGTGCCCTCTCGGAGTACTAGTAGCGGTAGCCATATATGACCGTCGTCGTCGATGATTATAGATGGATCGGATGGTCAGCTGTATTGTACTAATAATATGGATGATGATGAAGCTGGTTAGTTGAGGCCAGGCGGGCATGCATGGATGTACTATATATATATATATATATATATATATATATATATACCCATAGACAGCGGATTTATATAGTGAAATTTGCACACTAAAACATAAGTCATTTATTAACGTAGGATTTAAATTTTTTTATTTTTTAAATACGACTTAAGAATGACCAGTGAGAAGAGTAATGTTCAAGTGATGCTGGACATTTAGTTGAATAATGACTACTCCCTCCGTCCCTGAGTGTTTGTCCACTTTCATTTTTGCACACCATCCAATGCACTTCTTTAATCCATTTTATCTTGTAATTTGTATATTAAAACATTATAAAAATTATATATTAATAATCTATATGTTAAGACGAATCAAACAAGATCACACATGACTATTTTTAGGCTTACACATTGAGAGAATTTGATAAGTCAAAGTGCTTAGATGAACAGTTCCAAAAGTCAAAAGTGGACAAACACTGAGGGACGGACCAAGTAATAGATAGTATATAAATTACTCATGCATATATTATTGGGAACCGCGCGCAGTGGAGATCATCGGTCGTATACTACGGAGTGGAGTATTAATTATGCAAGTAACCCAAGAGTTTTTCAAATTGAATGCACGTCTCGGATATGGAGGAGCTACGTACTTTAATAATTAGCTTAGGAGATCGATGAGAGGGAGCAATAACATTTATTTCGACCAATCTCTTTCTATCCATCCTCAACCAAGGATATTGTGTTTGATCGAAAAATTAATGATTTTTATCTTTTAATTCTAGTACGTTAATCTTATACCGTCTTGCCTCCCAACTAGAAGAAGAGCATAAAGACTGGGACCGAAAAGATTGACCGATACCGACTAGGATTTGGACTTGAAAGATTGGTATCGAAGTAGTCCTTGAGACTAGTCTAGTCCAAGACCAGTAGTCTCAAATGTTCCTTAATATTTATAGAGGACTAGGATGTTAGACAATAATACTAATATTACTTCTAGTAGTATTGGTTATGGTAGTGTTTGATTATTAGTCAGTTTCCTACTCCTATTTGTGGTAGCTAGATGTTGTATGTTAGTTACTTTTCATTCTCTATTCCTAGTTGTGTTAGGAGTCTCTCCTATATATACTCTATCATGTACTCTATAATTCAGAGAGCAATATTATTATTCTAATATTTCAAGATGGTATCGGAGTCACCGCTCTTGGTGACCTAAAAAAGATCTTTGCTCCCACCGCCGCCGTCGGTAATTCCGGCTACGGCGGCTCCACCCTATTCACCTCTATTTTCTTTTCCTTCTTTATCCTCAAATCAACTTCTCCACTCAAATGAAAAAAAAACCCTTGTTGAAATCACACAAAAAACTTTCAAAGGAGGAACTTCTCTCTTGTCATCTTCATGGTTATTCAAAAAAAAACCCAACTCCTCACAAACCCTCTCAGATCATCCTATCTTCTCAAAAAAAGGAAAAAAAATGATTGTTGTTTCTCTCCAATTCACCATATCAAAATCTCAGACCCAAATTTTTTTTCCATCACCAATTTTTAACCTACTTTTTCTCTCTAAAATCACTCATTCTAATCATCAACCTCCCTTCTCTTTCTCTTCTGTTGAACCATTAAAAATTCAAAGTAAATCAACACAAAAGCAAAGCCAAGAGGGGAAGTAGTGGAAGAGGAAAGAATACCTCTACAACTCACCCCTTCAAGAAAGAAACAGGGCGTTGCCCGGATCCAAGAAAAAGACAAAGAATGTCAAAGATCTTCCATCAAACAGGCACCTCCATTAGCTTTCTCTATTCTTCTTCGACGTCAGCAGCTACAAGCGCACGCCAACCTTCTCTCTTCTTCTTCGACGTCAGCAGCTACCAGCGCACATCAATTTCTCTCTTCTTCAACGATGTCTGCAGCCACCGGCGCACGTCAGACTTCTCTCTTCTCAAAGTTTCCAGCTAGTGTCCAAGCTTCCTCTTGCTTCAGCCAGAGTTCAGCTTGAGGGGGGATGTTAGACAGTAATACTAATATTACTTCTAGTAGTATTGGTTATGGTAGTGTTTGATTATTAGTCAGTTTCCTACTCCTATTTGTGGTAGCTAGATGTTGTATGTTAGTTAGTTTCCATTCTCTATTCCTAGTTGTGTTAGGAGTCTCTCCTATATATACTCTATCATGTACTCTATAATTCAGAGAGCAATATTATTATTCTAATATTTCAAGATAGGACTAGTCTAAGACTAGTAAAAGACATGTGAAAGACCTGAACCGGTCCGAAACTAGTAAAAGATTGGTCTAAAGACTAGGACTAGTCCAAAAAACTAGTCCTCTAGAGTCTAATTATATTACTTGTAAATTACGGAGTATATAGGGAGTAGTATATATGGAGTAGTACGTATAAAAATGTTAAAAAAATAATATAGAGTAATACAAATTAGAAATGATTAATGCTTCTCGGCTTCCCCTATCCCCTAAGTATTTTCTTAGAGTTTCAAGATAAACTCAAGCGTCACAACACTCTGTCCTAGAGCAGTAGAGCTAGTCCTCAGAGATGTCCTCAGAGAATCAGCAATTGAGCGAGCGAAGTGCAACATACAATCTCGACTGATGCAAAAAGAGTTGATGGACTATTTGGTAACCCTGACACAACATCGCAAAACTACAATCTTGACCCAATATGTTGGGACTAGAGACCAGGCCGGATTGGACTACCGACTGGACAAGATTGGACTAGTGGTCTTATTTGGTCCTTGATTTTGATAAGAAGACCGGACTAGTTAGGACCGGGTTTTTAAAGAGACTAGTCTGGTCCAGTCTTTTACTGTAGCAGTCTTTTCCAAAGACCGGTCTAGTGTGACCGCATCGATCCTTTTGCTCATCTCTACAGTCCCAACCCAGCGAGCAGCAACCCCCTTACTCCTCTCTCCCCCCTAGAGTTGACTACGTAGTAGGTGTTGCTGTCACGTCGGTGTGAATTATTAATTTTTTGAATGCAACATATATAGTAGCTAGGTGTTGTTGTGATATTATGACATTAATTCTTCCTATCAAACAAACCTAGATTTTTTTTATTAAAAATGAAGAGAATATTTAAATAGTAGCTACGTCCGTTTCTTTTGATCTTTCTATTCTCTCTATCATTTCTTTAGTTTAATTTTGATACTTTTTTTTAAATTAAAAAAATGTTAAAAAAAAGTTAATGAGACAAAAGTATATATGGAGTGTGGTAATAATAATAATAATAATAATAATAATAATAATAATAATAATAATAATAATGACGGATGATAATCTCATGTCACGAAGGTATTAGGCCCCATGACTGGACCCTACCACCTAGGTAAGCTCAAATAGGTCCTGCAGTTTCGGCTCGGTCATGAAGGCTCAGTCTAGTGGACTCGACTCAACCCAGCAAGCTCGGCTCGGTCGCACCGAGCCTAGCAGCTCTGGTCGGTCTGAGTCCAACCACTTCACATGGGTGTACAAAAAGACAATTAGATGCCTCGATTCCTTCCGATAACTGGAGACAAGGGCTAGACGACAAGAGACTCTCACGGGGAGCTGGATAACACGAGAGACGATGACAAGGACTAGACGACAAAAAAGTATCAATCACAGATATTATCGTTGTAAAAAGTACGATGGCTATAAACAGCCTTGGGCCATAACATTATTGTAGAGGATCTGAATTCAAGCTAATATACTCCTAATTTCTCTCTCTCTCTAACTTATGTTTTCATAGGACAAAGCATTGTAGGGCTCCATCAATTATTATTATTATTATTATTATTCTTATTATTCTTATTATTATTATTATAAAAAAGGTATAACAAAAGGTGTAGTAATAATAATAATAATAGGTGGAGTATTATAATTAAAAAATTACTATAATTTTATTTAATATTATATTTCCACTGCATTCCTATTTAACTATCTATACATGTCAAACGTTGACTAACTATATATATAAAAAATATACAATGAATTTAAATATAAAAAATATCCTATATATATATATATATATATATATATATATGTAAAAGAGAGTTTAGTTGTTGCAATGTTGACATGTGGCATGCCACATGTGCATCCACATGTGCACCCATTTATGAAGTGGATATATGCATTGCACCTATTTTAAATATCTTTTAATACATTTGTATAAAATTTTTCATTCTTTAATAATTCTGAATATATATTTCACCATTGTAAAATAAACTTCGTATTTTGAGTACACACACATAAAATTATTTTTATACTATCCACAGCTTATTTTAGTTTATTACTTCTCGAAAAATGATTGTATAAATTTAAAGGATGGCAACTGACAAATGACATTATGACACATATATATTCTCTAATGAAGTATCATTATGCATGTAACTGATCCACTTTTTATTATAATATTTTATTAATTCAAACCATTTCTATTTAGTACTTAATTCAATGATTATTAATTTTGTAAAATTGTTTTTTTTAAATTAACATACCAATATACTCTGTATGTTCCATGAATATAAAACATTTTTTGTCACTATTAGAAACTAAAACAACTAAAATTATATTTATAAAATCTCAAAAAATTAGAATATATACGAGCCCGTGCGAAGCACGGGGCAAACACTAGTACCAAATTATTAGTATCAAAAAATATTTTAAATGTATTATTTGTAATATATTTTTTAATATATTTTAAGAGATATTATTGGTCAAACTTTAAGTTTGAAAAGAGATTACAATTAAATAGCAATGGAGATAGTATAAATTTTAACTTAAAAATCATATAAATATAAAAAACGGGATGAAAAACAAAAAAGGCCTCGATATTAGGGTTGTAAACGAACCGAACCGAATCGAATATTTATGAAAAATGTTCATATTCGTTAAGATGGAGTGATATTCGAACTCGAACTCGAATTCGATTCGAATATTTTTTAAGATTCGTATTCGGTTCGTTTAATATATCAAACATATTCGGTTCGTTTAAATATTCGATTCGTTTAAATATTTTCTGTTCGTTTAAAATTATTCAGTTCATTTAGATTTTAAAATATTTTATAACCATTTGATATATATATATATATATAATTAGATTTATATTTCGAATATATTTGTCAAACTCACGAATCGAATGCCCTTGATTCATATTCGTATTCGATAAGGATTCGAATATTTATTCAGATTCGTATTCGTATTCGAATTTGAAAAAATCGAATACGAATCCCTTAAACGAATACGAATCACGAATCGAACACAAAATATTTGATTCATTTACGTCCCTACTCGATATCCGCGGAGTGATTATTTACACTTAATTAGGCTAATCGTATCCCTATAAATACGGTGATTACTGAGTATTATAACAAGAAATAAATGCATCCAAGAATCTTGAATCTGTGATTCAAATTTTATATCCTAGGACTTGGGTGTTCGCACATACATATACATATAAATAAACACATACACACACATACACAAATAAATAAATATATATATATATATATATATACACACACACACACACACACACATACATACATACACATACATACATACATACATACATATAGATACATACATACATACATACATATATATATATATATATATATATATATATTGTAACTTTGTTATATTTTTTTCTATTTTTTGTTAATATTTAATTTGCTTATTTATATTACACAATTATTATGTACTCCCTCCGTTCCTAAAAACATGAGAGATTTTGTCTTTAAGAGATTTAAGAGGAGTGCATTTTGATGTTGATTTTTCAAAAATGTCCTAGGATTTGATGAGTAAAAGTAGAATTTGATTAGTAGATTAATAGTGATAGAGATGATGTGATAGATAGGTTAAGAATTGGTAGGAGTAAAATATCTCTACAATGTTCTTATTTTTTAAATGGTCCTTAAACATAATTAGCATCTCCAATTAGTTAAGATAACATATTTATTTCATACTCAACATCCTAGTCTTGTATTTCTAATTAACTCCTACATGATTTTCTTATCCTAAAATGTGACAGTATTCATATTACATCTTCAGTTTCAATTTCTTGTGCATATACGGAGTAATATAATAAAATTTGAGAATTGAAGATGTAACTCGATGAAAAACACAATTTAGAGTATGTAAATTGTATTTGAGATAATTAGATATACAAGACTAAGATGTTAAATACGAAATAAATGTGTTATCTCAATTATTTAGAAGTCATAGTTACATCTAAGACCTATTTTTAAAATAAAAAATCACGTAAGGTGACTTAAACAAAAAGTTTACAAGGATAATATAAAAATCACCCATTTTATAGGGACTAAAAACATATTCAATGGGAGTAGTATGTATAGAAATCGCCCTTGATAGAACTAAAACATAGAGAAAAGTACCAAAATAGGACTTTTATATTTTTTTCCCCGAAATATGACTTTGTATGGTGGTAATGTGGCATTGTACATGTACACATTACTATATTATTTTGACGATGTACATGACCATGTTTGGTAATTAAGTCCTATTTCGGGAATAAAAATATGAAAGTCTTATATTGATATATTTTCAATGTTTTAGTCCTACTTTGGTCTTTCTCCCTAGTATGTATCGTTACAAGGGCCCATCAATCATGAATAAGACTGTTTTTTTGAGTGCTAACTCTGAAACTTTTAAAATTTTCTAACTCCTTCTAGTTTCTTCCAACTATTTCTAGTTTTTTCAACTTCTTCAAGTTTCTTTTAGTTTTTTCAAGTTTTTTCTAACTCATTCTAGTTTTTTCCACCTTTTTCCAGTTTCTTCCAATTTATTCCAACCTCTTTCAGTTTCTTTTAATTGTTTTTAGTTTTTTCAAATTTTTCTAGATTTTCTAGCTTCGTATAGTTTCTTCTATTTTATTCCTATTTTTTTCAATATCCAACTTTGTTTTTCAAATAAAAAAAATAGAACCTAAAACTCTAGTATTTCGTTAATCAGATTCGATCCAAGGATCTCAAACTTAGGATAACGTAAGCAAAACTCGAGGAGGGTAGAAGAAGAGCATATTCTTTTTAACTTATTATATTACATATTCTTATTGAAATCAAATCAGACTAGATTAGATAAGATATGGAAATAGATTTAAAAAGGAGTAAAACATTGAAAATATAGTAAATTAGAAGTTTCCTATTTTTATTTCCAAAATAGGAGTTAAAGTGCATTTATATTGTCAATTATGATCATGTATTTTACGTAAAAGAAACTCCTATTTTGATATTTTTTCAATATTTTACTTATATTTGGAGTGATTTCATGATAAGAAACAGCTCAAAATATAATTACAACCAAATTAGACTAAATTAGAATTTATTCTAATTAACTCAAAGTGTTCATCATCTTTAACCTAAGTGGCAAGAAACCCCACCGTCCGCCGTCATGTCTTAGTCTGCCACTCTGCCCTGTCACGAATCTTGATTAAAATAAAAAATAATGAACGGCCAATTGAATATCGCCCTTCCACGTTTTCTCTCCATATCCTTCCAGCCTCTCTTTACTTCCTTCTTCATCTTCTCCCAGCGATTCCCAGCTGCTCCGGCCAATGTCCGGCGACAATCGACACTAGAGTAGAACAGCAAGAAGAATGCAGTGTCCCAGAAACGCGTTTCCGTACAACGGAACCCTTTGCTCCTGCAATCCCGGGCACGTGTTCGACGCAGCTCGCCGGAGCTGCTCTCTCCTCGCCGACTGGGGTCCCATCGAGGTTGACTCCGGCGTTGACCACAAGTCCGCCCCTTTCCCCCGCACCGGGACCATATTCGGCTCCGATTCCATCAAGAAGCTCACCCAGTCGCAGGATGTGTTCATTGAGGGTACTCTCATTCTGGTCTTCTCCTGGCTCGCCTTCTGCTTCTTAGCTCGTTTCGCCCCATTGGGCGACGGCCGCTCTCTCTGGTTCAAGATTCGCTGGTCCATTAGCCGCCTCGATGGCTTCTTCTCCACCAGCCATTGGCTTGTGCGTAGTCTTCTTCTTGTTTTTTCCGTCCTCAAATTGACACACTTCTGTTTTGTTGTATTTCTTTCTGCCAAATTTATTGGAAGTATATATCATGTGCACCCATTTTATGAGTTTCTTGATTGTTTCATGGGTAGATGCATACAGAAATCGACTCTACCACATGGTGTGCCACTACATTTAGAGCCATTGAAAAACACGTTCTCAACGGCTTTAAATGTAGTGACATACGGGCGGGGTGGCACATCAGATTTGGATTTTGGACAGTCCAGAGACATGTTTGAATTTGATTTTATCTCTGAATTCCTAAATTTACATGTTTGTACTCCTAATATCATTATCCATATGATTTTCATCAAGAGTATATAGCTACCCATGTTCATCATTGATTGCCCTCTTTCGTGTTTCGGGGAAAAGTTTAGGCTCCACTATATTTGGTGAGCTTTTATGCATGTTGCCATTTCATAACTACAAAGCGTCTTTGTGTAGGATGATCAGAAGGTAGTTAAGAAGCGCAAAACAGAACTTGGTGGAACATTTTCAACCGCAAGCTGGATACTTTTTGTTGGTTTATTTGCTGCGTGAGTGCATTATGTTTCCGCGTTACCTATAAGTGCATTTCCTCGTAGATGTCCATACTAAGTTTCTTTTAATCTTGCCCATGCTTTTCATCTTCAACTACAACATTCTTACCTTTTTGTTTCCTGCTCCTAGTGCTTGTAAGAGCTGGTTTGTTTATACTTGTACAGGTTGCTTTACCAAATCATATCCAAGAGAGCCATTGAGGTGCATAATGTCAGAGCAACAAATGCACCTGAGTTGGAAGCATTCAGGAATGATCTTGAATTTAATGTTACTACCATTTCAAGCATGACTTGTGCGCACTTACGAGGTCTTAAGACAGTTGCAAGTGGGAATCCTGGGTTTCTTGACTATAGAGTTGCTCCTCTCTCAACTTTTGCTAGCTATTCATGCATAAACACCACTAAGGGACCAACCATTGTACTGAAGTGCACCAATTGTCCACTTACACGTGACAATGCCTTCATCTCTTGGCAATTCATTGATCTTCCAAATGATCCTGCAAGTGCTGTTGGGTTCCAGTTTAATCTCACTGCGAGAAATCCAGAAAACAAGAAGCACATGAGTTTTGTCAGTGGAACACTGAGAAATGGAAGTAATGTTGGCAACAAGCCGGTTACTTATAGAGGGCCAGTCTCAAATATGTTGCAGTTCAATATTGTTCCTAGAATTTACCGGAACATGGATGGGTTGAGTCTTGTCCAACCACTATTCCATGGATTTCTCCCTGGTTCATTTTTCAGTGAAGTAAATCAGCTTAAGTCGTCTCTCCAAAACTCTAATGATGGCCTCATCAACACAACATTATACATCAATTTTCTTTCTTCGTATATTGTTCAGGTTGAAAATGAAAATATCATGGGCCCTGGTGAGTAGAAAGTTATCTTTACAAACTGTTCAGTGTATCTTCTTTAAGTCTTTGTTTTTTTGCTCATCTTTGAATGTTTGTGTGTAAACAGGTAAACATTTTCTTCTTGTAGGAATGTTATTGCATTTTGTATATGAAATTTTCACCCTATCGCTTTTTTGTTTAGACTTGCTTTTTACATAGGGAATCTATGCAGTATAATTAGGTATTTACATGCTTCAAATTTTTGCATGCATTAGTATGGTGTTATGTTTCTTTGTTACCAAGTAGGGGAGATGTATACATGAGGAGTCTTGTTTACCTATACACATTAAAAATAGTCTTGCAGATATGGATAATAATGCCACTAACAATTCCGTACATGAGAATACATCTTGATGACATTATTAGTCATTTAAGCCCTCTTTAAGCTAATACTTAACATACCTCCCTTCCTCAAGAATGCAGTAAGCTTCCTTGCGGATCTTGGTGGCCTTTTCTGTATCAGCATTGTTGTCTTCTTCTACATGTTGGTGCAGGTATGTTTCCATTCAATTCAATTTCTATATTAACAGATTTTTTTTATTGTCTTTGCACTGCTTTATGGAATGTGTAACAATTATGTGTGCCATTTGATTTGGGAATAATTGTGCGCTGGAATTCAGTAATCAGTTTAGTATCCCTGGAATGAAAAATATGAGATAAATGTTGCACGTTAACTTTGACTTGATGGCTCTATATACACTGCAGCATTTATAAATTGACTGGCTTAGTCTTCATTTGGTGTTGGGAAATTTGGGATGTCAGGGAAGATTTAGTTGCAGATTAGTAATGGTAATGATATGCTCCGTATTGATTTAGATCTATAATTTGTACAATATAGTGTGAAAGCAGAATCAAGAGACTCCGTAATGAGGATAGTGTGATGCAAAGGATTAGAAGTCGTCGGAGAGCCCAAGATCGATGGGACAAGGTGAGTTCTGTGATATATTTAGGTTTCCTAAAAACAACAGATACAATGAAAACATAAACATGACTACATGAGTTTTGTTTTGAGAGGATTTGCGCTGCTACATCTTGAGAATTCATCTCCTGATTTAATTGTCATCACCCCGCATAAATGTGTTTGTTGTCAAACAGCTAAGGAAGTATGTAATGTTCAAATGGGACCCTTCTGCAATGAGAGACAAAGGAAACAATGTGAGCTATGATGGGTGCTGCTCGGGCGTTTCATTGGGAACACTGCATAAGGAGGGGCCATTGCCCAAACAAAGAGAGAGAATGGGACAAGATACTGTAAGCTTCAGCAAGAAAGGTAGCTTGCCAGAAAATAAGGTGACACATAATGCCAACTTAAATTCGGCAAAAAGTCCTATTGAAATTTTAAACTGGAAGTTTGGATGATGGGTTCACTTTGTACTTATGCAGACAACTATCATGGAGCAGACTGGTTTTCAGACGGCACGTCTGACACCTATCCAGGAAAAAGTATCATCCTTTAATACAAAACTGGTATTTTGCCTTCTGTTCTCATTAGAGCTTTTTAAAGAGTCTATGCCAATTATTGTTGTTTTCAGTGTGCCTAATGTGATTCATTAGGCATTATGTGGTCAAACTATATTCATAATGCAGCAATGGAGATTTTAGATTTTCGAATCCCATTATAAAATCCTTAACAATGTGTTTGGTTCAAGGAATTCGAAGGGAAACGAAAAGAAAATGAATAGTATCTCTTTTTTTTTGGTAATTTTGACTCCAGAAAAATACTGCACCTCATGTGAAAGATGGAGAACTTGAGAACAATATTACCATGCATTCCACATCTGGTGATTTAGAGCTTCCACCACTTCCTTCATTAGGTATGTTTTGAAACTAAAAGACTATACTTTCCATCTCTTCTCAGATTGCCTAGTGAGGAACTAGGTGGTTAGGGTAAAATGGGGTTTTTACTGGTCGTCCATGATCGCAGAATTCCATGCTTCCCAGGAAGTGAGTTTAAGTAATCTCCAGAGAAGTATCGAAAGTCTCTACGAATACAATGCTTTACTGAGGGAGAAGTTGATTGCTGCAGAGTTAACGCTTCGTGCTCTATCAAAACAACATTTGCCTTCAACAAGCACCAGCCATGGCAGCTCTTGCACTCAAATTACCAAGATTTGAATGTGGGCATGATTATGCTCACTCATACAGAAGGTAAATGGCTGAGTGGGATATGAGAATTTGTAAAAAAAATGCCCAAGAAGTCAAACAAAGAGTGATTGTTGGTGATTCATTTTATAGGTTTCATTTCAATTCATTTTTTTGTGCTAGTTCAAGAATATATCCCCAAGAATTGTAGAAGTAGACTAGGATGTGCAGTAGAGATTCGGCTGAATATTTGTTGTTGCAGGCGTGTTTGAATTTCAGCATTTCGTCACTAAAACGTTGCTCTTCCATTGTAAAATATAGGCGGTTTCACATTAGCCAAATTGCTCTGTAAATTTAGGGGGATTGATCTTGGATAAATTCTTAGCATGTGATTTATGTGTGTACTTTCACTTCTTTGTTACTGGCATTACTTTTGCAATGTTGTTGTGGAAAAATCATTGGGCTTGAGGGCATTAAGCATTGGGTGCATATTCCCACAATCCCATTCTTTGGTCCTCTTGAATAGCATGATAAGCCTATTGCAGTTTGGAGTATCATACACCTAATAATACATGAACCTTCTCAACAGCTACATAAGCATTTTCATAATGTTACGACAAATATTTATTTAAATTATCAATTTGTTTTAGTAACAAGGTCCAAGTCGAAACACTGAATTTTGTGAGAGAAGATAAACAGGAACAATGCAAATGTATCAGGTCAATAGATCTTAAAAACATCCCCAAGAAGTGAGCATCGTGAGTCCCGAACACCCGCCGCCACGTTTACAAAGAAAATAAAAACAAACAAATACAATTCTCCAAGGAACATTGCAGACATATTGATACTTGAATAAGAGAGTACGATGCACTCCACGGCTGTCCGCCCTTCTGAGAGGGTCGTTACTCTTCTTCTGCCTCCTCTAGCCACTTCACGAAGGGTTCCAGTGATTTCACAAATGATTGTCTGCCAAAAAAGTGTAAATTCTAAGTTTCACTCGAGCAGAATAACAATAGTAACTGATCTTATAAGAAAAGGTTAATAGTAATCAAGGGACAAAACCAAATGCTGTTTAGAACTTACCTGCCCTTGGGGTTAGTTCCTTTGCGGAACCAATGAAGAATGGTGTCTTCAGCCAGTACATCCTGGTCGTAAAGTGACTTAATGATTTCGGGAAACAATTTCATCAGCTTTGCATCCTCATAGCATTGCACTTGAACCTTATATATCAGTTCCAGTTCCAGCTTTCCACTCGTGCAAAATGCATTCAGCAGTTTTGCCCATGTCTTGACCTATATAAACATACATAAAGACCAACAAATATTCATATGTATAACATGGAGGCGTTGAAGAGGATATTAAGGCTCTGTTTGGTACACGGAATTCAAACTATGGAATTGGAATTGGGGACAATAATTCCAATTCTGCTGTTTGGTAGCACAAAAATATGTGGATTTGGAATTGGTAGTGCTAAAAATGAATTGGAATTGGAGAATTCAATTCCATCTAACTCAATTTCCAATTCAATTCTAACTCTGTCATTTCCGTGTACCAAACGGATCCTAAATGAATTCCACCAGGCATATAATAATACGGAGAATCTCTTATGAAAGAGTTTGTAGATTGATTACCTGACGCAGAGCTAAATTAGCATTCTGCTGTTGATTTTTCCCAGACCATTGAACGGCATCCATCAATACATCCCAAAGGATCCTAACAGCATCAATATCTGGAAGTTTGGCATCTTTAACATGCTGTTTTACAGTATCTATGACCTCAGAGATATCAACTTCTCCGGATATTTGAGTCGTTAATGTGGTTTTCATTTCCTTGAGTTTCACCTCAAGAATCTTCTTCTCATGGTATTCAACCAAGGGCAAAAGGCCAGCATTGCTGTCGTAAAATGGTAGGGTTATCATTAACATCAAGGACTAGACTCACAAAAAAACCTCTTCAAAAGTTACAAAAACATGTAATAATAATAATAATAGTAATAATAATAATCATAATAATCTACCAATCCTTTGCTTTCTCTGACATTTTTTTCCTACCCTTGGTTCTGGATATCTTCTATCCCACTTTCCCTTTCGCAATGGTGTGCAACACTCCGTGATTGGTAGATTGCATTTCGTTAACTAAATAAAATCTATACATTTTTTCTGACTTTGATTTCGCTCCATGATGATTATTAGACCTAGAGTGGTGAACAAAAAGACTGGTGGAGACTGGAATAATGCACAGTCTTCTCTGCATAACAGAGTTCGTTGCTCGACCTAAAAAATACTTACGTGAAATGCTCAGAGAAAGCTTCAGGTGTCCTCTTTGCAGATGGGAAGAACTCCAAGAGATTGTCCTCCACTTTGCCTCTCTTACAAATTGAGATCAAGTCATCAAGACTGTTGTCGATCAAATATTCTGCGAAAAACTCTGTTATGAATGAGAGAACTATCCCTTTCCCGACAAGGTTGTCCTTGAGCATAGGTTGGAACACTGTCTCTGGCGGAAGACCAGAGAGTTTCTGGGAAAAGGCAAGGGCTGTAAAAATTGCAAGCTTCTTCCTTTCCTTTTCCTCAAAAAGTTCCAACGACTGCAACAGTCGCCGCATAACATTTTCAAGGCTCTTTATGAGAAACGGTTTTCTTCTCAATATCTTTTGCACAAAGATGACAGATGGCAAAATGACTTCGCGCTTAGGCTCACACTCAATCACAGAATAAGGGTGGCGCTCCCCCTCATCGGGTTTTACTGTTCCAGGTTGAGTACGACCTCCTGTGAATACAACCTGCAAAAGTACCTCCTTAACCTCTAAATAAAATTTATGGGTAAAACACTTCAATGAAATAAATTAAAAAGAGAGATAATTTATTTAATGGAAATGTTTTTAATGCGGTATTAAGTTTCATAAGATCCATGTTTAGCTTAACCCGTGTGCACATAAGAACTACCATGATGCTTGATACATACTCCGTAGTACATTCAGCACAGGTTAAGTTAAACCTGCTAATATACCTCAAAGAAAGTGTCGCCGTATCTACTGAAGTTAAGTTCTGATGATTCAATGCTCTTAGCAACAAGTTCCTGCAGAATATATAACACTTAAGTGTATGTTTGAATGTTATTGTGGAAGATTTTAGAGGGGAAGAAGTGTGGGGTAAAAAGACTAACTTGCATTTTAAGAAAATAGTGGTTTAAAATGAAATAATTTAAATTAAAATATATGGAGTATACAGTTTCAATGTCCTAGCAAGTTATTTATGACCATTACTCGATAATCTCTCTTTAAAAAATACTGTATAATTCTCATTACTTAAAAATAAAAATTAACCCCCCACCTCCCATCCCCTGCAAAAGCCTCCAATATCTAACTCACAAACATACCCAAAGAAATCCCTTATCAGAGTAATCACCTAAGAACAAAAAGGTGAACTCCATGACTCTCCACATAGGTAACATGATAATTTGATAGTTCAAAAGTACTAGTTTTTACCCCGGTGCTTCGCATGGGCTCGTATATTTTTATGTAAAATATATCTATAAATTTGATTTTAAAAAAATGAAATGAGAATTGAAAAATTAAGCGGAATATGTATTAAAGTTGATATGTTGAATCACCAATATATAGAACCTGTAAATCTCATAAGCACAAAACTTTTTAAATTACTTCTATGTTTTTATACTTTAATAAATTCATTTAGAATTATAGTTTTGATGAATATATTTTAGATGTAAGTTTTTATGTAAAAGTTTGAAAAGGTAAATTTTTAATGAAACCTTTGAATACTTTTTAAACACTAAAATTACTACTATTGGAAAAGTTAAATAAAAAATATACATGCACAAAAAAATTATTAACACTTGGAAAACATATTTAGAAAATAGTGAAAAAAGAATAAAAATGTGAATAGAATAAGAACATGATTTTGGCAACATTGATTTTTTTGGGGGATTTGCATAGATTTTTTTAAAATAATAACTTTTGGTCCTCTTTTGGGAAGAATAAAAACATTGGAGACCTATTTTGGTTTGTTCTATATGTTTTACTCATACTTTAGTTCTTCTCTCATAAGAAAATGAGTTTGCAAGATAATTATTTATCCAAAAAATGTATTTACTAGTTTTGGAAATAATTGTTTTGTTTTCATAGATGTGAGTCTTGAACATCTAAAATCCCATATTTATTACTTCATACACTTATTTAAATGTCATTCTTTGTTTAGTTATTTTTAATAACAGTAAATCATTTAATATAAAATTTGAGAGTTGATACTCTAAGAACCTGCCATTTGGCAATGTTTAATGCTTAATGCTTAATTTTTTGACACCTAATCACCACGCTACGTGTCACTTCTACAATCAAGACTACCAGCCTTCTCTTCTAAAAGGAAACTCACGAAAAAATCGTCAAACCGGGTGACCCGGTTCTACCTGGACGGTTTACGGGTCTAAGGTGACTTTGTTTTCTTTGAAAAAAATCTACACCATCGGGAATAGAACCCTGAACTTCAGGCCCAAGCTCTAGCATTTCCGTCCAACTGCACTACTAGAGTTGGTTTTTTTTGTGTATAACTATTTTTATATATTCGTTGCACAGCCTTCATTTTAGGATGGCACCTACCTAATGTATATTTGTAGAAAACTTTCAAAATTTTAACAAGATAGTTACTTTAAAAAATAGAGATATGTTTGTGTAAGGTTCTTAGTTTAAGAATTTTCAAAATAATTTTTTATAATAAAGAAATGAACATTATTTTTTTGTATTTTTTTTATTTCAATAAACTTAAAATTCTAGAACATTAATAAAGGTTATAAAAATTAAAATTTGAAAGTGTGAAAGAGTACTATATGAAAAATGATATTAAAAACTAGGTGGAGAAGAAAAAAAGATTGAAACTTAAATACTTTTATTGTGTAAAAATATGTATATTAATTTATTAAAAATATATATTAAAAATGTTTTTATTCTGATTGACCGAGTTGTTGACCCGGTCCGACCGGTTAACTCTTGACCCAAATGCTCTTTCGAGTCGATGTCCGGTCCGGTTTTCAGAACATTGGTAAAAAGAAGGAAATTGAAATTCCAAAAATTACGGTCTTTCTCTGCAGTCTTTCTGCTTCGAGATTTACTCTTTCACTGCCCTTCTTCTTACGGTATTTTTTCATCGCAGGAAACTCCAAAATTTCTTCATCACCGATTCTCTATGTCTTCTCTGCTTTGCCGGAAACACGAATACCATAGCTACTCATCAATCTTCTAGCTTATTTGAGATCCAAAATACCAAAATTGAGATTCAAGAATCAATATGAAAATTTGCACGGGTGCTGCGATCAATGTTACTTGGTATGTTTCAATTTTCATATTCAATTGTTATTCTTCCCCAATTTAATTGTGCATATTCAATTTATATTGTTCTTCAATATATCTTAATTAGCTACATATTCTGTAAAATTAGTTTCATTTTTAATGTTAAATTTAGCATATACAAGAAAATATAATGACACCAAAGAAATATTAAAGAATACTATTCAAAGGTTCTTATTTAAAAAGTTTTGGATACGAAGTTATCATGAAAAATCTTTGGGACAAAAATGTGGGGGCCTTACGGCGGGGTTGGGGTGGGGGTGCAGGTGTGGGGGTAGGGTGAGGGGTTTAGGGGGTGGGATAGGGGGGTTGGAACCGTCAATTTTACGAACGGAGCACCGGAGGTGCCCCAAAAATGCAGTGGCATCGGAGTGGCACCATTTTCCGGTGTCACTAGAACCGTGCCGATTAAAGATAACTATTCAAAGGTTCTTATTTAAAAAGTTTTGGATACAAAGTTATCATGAAAAATCTTTGGGGGCCGGGAATTCATTAGGATTTGAAAGTTTAAATTACCCATTCAAAGGGCTTCATTGGGGGAGAGGTGGCCGGGAGTGGGGGTAGGGGAGAGAATGAGGGTGGGTGGGGGAAATGAACTCGCGGAAGTAGAGTACTCAAAGATTGAGTAGGAAAATGAACTTTAATCTAAAACAACTAATAGTCATTTTCTCTTCTAAGAGAAAAAATTTTTTCTTAAAAAATTATTTCCTACCACTTATGCAACGTAACATAACAAATTATTGGAATTTTTTGCAAAAATATTTTTCTCTCAACCAAACATATTCTAAGAACTATAATCCAAAAGAACAAAACCTTAAAAAATTTAGAATTGACAAAAAATTGCTAAACCCCGTGCGTTGCATGGGTTAAATACTAGTTTATTAAATGTGACATTTATATAGTGAATCACACAATGTCATATTTAAAGTATTTCAAAAGTATACATTTCAACAATAAAACTAAATATTACCAGTTTTATATAATTCTTAGAGCTTGTAAATAAAAGCATAAAATTTTGTTTAAATAGAAAAATAAAGATACTAAAATTGAAAAGGGTAATTTAAAAAAAAATAGTTTTAATAAAGATGCACATGAATTTAACTTAATATAAATCTTTGCTTTTGACAAGTAAAAGAAGACAAAATAGTTAATAGTTATAATAATTAATATAAAGTTCTATTTTTAAAAATAATAATAATTAAACTATATACAGAATATTATATTATGGATAAAAAATATATTTTAATGATGGAATGTTGGTATAAAGGTTGGACAATGAATAGTTATATATTTATGTGTCTTTTCATTTTCTTAACATTCATAGGGACCTCATTTATCTAATATTTATGTGGAAACTGGTGACATGATGTGGCATGGTAGTTGGCACTAAAATTGTGATGTGGCGTGACAGATGGTGCAATGGCATTTAATCTGCTCAACTTTATATATGTGTGTGTGTGTGTGTGTGTGTGTGTGTGTGTGTGATTTGAATAAGATTTGAGAGTTGAGACAAATTCAGAGCATAAACATAAAAGAAATAGAATGAATATTTTATGTAAATACCAGATCGCCAGCATTATCTAGATAGATTTGGACCACTGCATCCGCAAATGATGCAGTGTCCAGCGGTGCTGCAATATTCCGTTTGCGGGTCTTAATCCGCGTACCACTTCAAAATCACATTTGAATGATTAGCTATTAGTGAGAAGGAAAACAATTCAATAGAAGAACTTTAAATGAAAACTACTTACCCTAGAGTGGGCTTCTCCTTGGAGGTGCTTCATGCAAAACAAACAAAAATAAGAGGCAGCAAGATATAGACTTTTAGAAAGAGATATTACAAGAAATATCACTGAAATAGAGTGGTTGGACAAAAACACAATCATTACATTTAAGATCTTTAGGCCTTCAGTGACCATAATTGGTACAGAGTATAAATTATCTTAAATACTATTAGATGTTCATAAACTCGCCACCCACTCCCTAATTCTATCTGTGTGTGTTGCCTCTTTTACTTGTTTCTATTCTTCTTCTGCCGCAGTCACTCATTGTTCCTCTGCTCCTTCATCATCTTATTTTTTCTTCTAATCTTGTTCCACTTATCATCATCTTTTTATTATTTCTATTACTTGACTCTTAATTTCTTACTCATTGGGCACGGCAATCCTTCACTAGACCTGTCAAAAATTTGCTTGACCCGGTATTTTGAACCGGAAATAACCTGCTAAAATGGAACAGACCCGACCAAACTTAGACTACCCTGGACAAAGGTAAGATTTTTTGACAAATTGTGCTCTTTAATATAAAATATAAATAGATAAAAAGCAAATTATCATATTATTTTCTTCAGACTTCATTTTAACATAGACTCCCTCTGTCCGGAAAGGTTTTCCAATTCGACTTTTCATAATAACACTTTGACCATTAATATCTATATTTACACATCGATGTATTTCATAAAAATCTAATATTTCTAATTTACATTTCAAAAGGAAACTATTGATATTACATTTATATCGAAACACAATGTTGTTTTTTGCATATCGAGGTCAAAGTTTACAAACTTTGACAATGAAAAGTCAAATGGGAAGATCATTCCCGGAAGGAGGGAGTACTATTCTCTTTGCTAGGTGTTATTTTTGTAATATTTCATTATTATTTTAGTCTTATTAATATTTTGTACGTTTAAAGTTGGGTTTTTATCTTAAATAATAAAGTTTTGTTCTCAAAATCTAATTACAATTGCGAAAGAAAACATTATACTTATCTTAAAGTAGCTTTGATTTACATAATTTAATAATTCATACATTTGTTACAAGTGCTAATATACATGTAAATATTTTTAACATAAGCACTCCACACTCATTGGGTCGACCCGAACTGAATACTCTGGGTCATGAACAAATATCTTTTATCTACGCTAATTTGATTAGTAATACTCCTTATTTCAGGAAAACAATTTTAAACGGATAGATTGATGGAAAATTGTATAAGAAAAAAATCCATGATGGTTCACGGGGTGCTAGACCCTGATACTCTAGATTGATATCAGTGCACCATTTACATAAATTACAGAAAGTAAAAAAGAATAAATGTCATTATATGGCATAATAATTTGTGTCACTATCTATGCGGAAAATACTTCAACCTACCCATCAAACTATGAAGCTTTCAAAGAAGATGGAAATTCAAATCAAACTACACATATATGTGTATCGGTGTCTGTACTTATATATCATCATGCACAATAATTATAAGAACGCATAGAGAAAACAATTAATTAGACAATTTGAGTTTCCAATTACAATTAGAGACTGTGAACATTCAAAGCCTTACAGAAAACCAGATCTCTGATCGAAAAATACCAGATCCTAGATCATAAAGATGAAAACTTAATTCACCGTTACAATTAAATGTCATCGACGAATATTTACCTCATAAACCAATATCTAGATGAATCGGAACGCGCGCAGAGGCTCTCTCAGATTCGCGATGCAGAAATGGAGAGAGAGAGAGAGAGAGAGAGAGAGACGCTTCTGCAAATATACGGCGTAAGTCGTATAGATACTTCGTATTTTTCTTTGTAAACGATACTTCGTATTTCTTGCTCTGTTCCGCCGTTGATATGATTGAATATCTGAATTTTTGTTAGATAATCTGATTTGATTTGATTCGGTCTGATCTGATTAGATCTAATCTGATTTGATTGTGGGTCTGTTTGGGATTAGCTTTAGCTATTAACGTTAGCGTTTTGAAAAGGCTATCTACGGACAGCGTTTAGCGTTAGCGTTTTCAAAGTAATCTGCACCGTTAAAATTTTATCCAAAACGCTAACGCTATTTCCAAACAGGCCATGTGTCTGATCTGATCTGATTGGATCTGATCTGAACTGATTAGATCTGATGTTATCTAATTAGATCTCGTGTAAATGAATTTAAATTTGATTTAAATTAAACTTAAAAAAATTTCAAAATTTAAGAAAATTAGAAAAAATGTAAAATAAGAAAATCAGCTAATCATTGATATATACTTTACCATAAATTATAATTAAAAAAATAAAAAGTAAAAAGTAAAACTTAAATTCATATATACATAAAAAAAGTAAAATAAGAAAATTAGCTCATCATTGATACATTTAAACTTTTTTTGAAATATTACAATATCACTACTTTTGAATTTTTGTGAAAATAAAATATTCGGCATTAAAATAACCAAATATTAGAAAACATAGGTGCTATTTTACAAAAATATACATTCTATATTTATATTACATAATAATATATTTCAAGTTACAAATTAAATATCATATAAAATCTTCAACACTAGTATTTCTTTTACCTCTCAATTTTGTCACAACTCACCTTTGAATATATTATACCATCTTAAAGTTTAAAAGTAAGTCTTTTGAAGTATAACATATTTATGTTTTTAAAAACTATATTTTGTACAATTATTTTATACATAAGTATTTTAAAACAATTCCTTTTAAGTATGAAAAATACAATCTTTTAAGTTTTAACATTGCTTTTGTGCATCATTCCTACCAGTTGGGCAATTATTAAAAATAATGGTTTGTAGTTGAAATATATCAATTATAATAATAATATAACAATAATAATAATAGTTAAAATTTTAATATAGATTAAGATTTAGGCGTGTGTAACTTTAGATAAAGTAACGTGATTTAATCAAATAATAGTAATTATTATTCAATCCTTGAAAGATATAAATATTTTTTTATATTTTTCCTTGATTTGATATTCTTGGATTGGATCTGGTCTGATCTGGTTTGATTGGATCTGATCTGATCTGATTTGATCAGATTGAATCTGATCTTTATCTGATTTTAATAAGAATAAGTAATAGTAGAAAAAACAAGTCCTACGCAACGGGCCCTTAGTTTTTTTCTCTTTTCTAGGGTGCCACGTTCCTTAGATTCCATTGTACTCCTTGAGTCGAAAAAATAATACCCTCCCTCGACAAATAATACCCTCCCTCCACAAATAAATTTCAAGTCAAACTTTATTCATTTTGTTGATTTATTTTCGTAATTTATTTGATAAAGTAATATAGTCATGTTATCTCTACTTTTGTAGATCTTTTGATATATTTTTTTATATGTAATTTTTATTTTTAAATTTTACACCATTGTTCATATAAAATGATTTGAAAATAACTTCCGTCAAACATCGTAACGCGCAACGGGAAGTTTATTTGTGGACGGAGGGAGTATCATTATTACTATTGATTTTTTAATAATTTTTGTTTGTTTGTTTTTTTTAATCGTCCGATAAAATAAATATTCTTATTGCATTTTTCTTTTGAACTTTTGAAGAGTTTAATTTTTACTTTTCATTTTTCAAGTATGACTATAATGATTTTTAAAAGGATTATACTCTGCACGTTGTTCGAAATGTGCTAAAAATTTGGGATGGAGAGAGTATTTTCTTTCCGTTGTTATTTTTTAGTTTTGTTGTATTTTTTTTGCCTTTTCATAATCAATGCATTTATTTCAAATTATGTTTATATTACTATTTTAATTTATATATTATTACATAAATAACACATCAAATTAAAAAATTGTCTCATTTTAAAATTAACTTCTAATTTGACTTTTCATGGTTTCTTATGCAACACTTTGATCATTAATATCTCTATTTATACATAATTATATATTATAATAAAAAATTTCAAAACCATGTTTTAAAATTTATATATTAAATTAAAATTTTATAAAAAATTAATGTATTTTTTCCGTAATATGTAACCAAAATTCAAAAAGTCTAACTATAAAACTCAAACTAGAAAGTTAATTTTAAGTATGAAAGAGTAACTGTTAATGGGATCAAACATTGTACCATTGGCACACTTTGGGTGATGGGATGATTGGGGATTTGGAGGAAAATGTCACATGGCGCATAAGGGAAGGTGATCAAGCTCTCCATAATACATAGCCTTAGGTATGTTTGGTTGGAAAGGAGGGGAGGGGAAGAATGGATGGGAGGGAAGGCAAGGGTTCTCTTCACCTTACTTGGTTGGGTGGGGAAGGAAATATTTTATTTTTCAATATTTTATTTACATTTTTATTTTTAAACTTATTTTGTTATCTATTTTAAAATTATTATCAGTATATAATATTTAATTCTTTCAATTTATTTTTTATAGTTTTAGGTTTTTTATTATTTATCCTACATTTTAATTTTTTATTTTCTTATCTAATCTATTTTTTTAAAAATTTACTTATATATGTATATGTACGCACACACACACAAACACACACATATTATTTTATTTATTATCAATTACTATGATTTTTCATTATTGATAAACTGATTTATTTTATTATTATAATTATTTACTATTATTAATTCTTACCTTTTCTTCTATAATGTTTTTATTTTTTGAAATTATTTTTATTATAGGTTTTTATTTTATTATATTATTATGTTTTCAGTTTCCATTTTAATTTTAAATATTTCTATATTTACTTGTTTATTTTTCTGTTAAACAATAAAGTTATATGCTCGTACATATATGTTCAAAGTATTAGAGTCGGCAAATTATATACTCCCCCATTCCCTAAATTAGGGATGGACTGGTTTCGGAATCGCTGGGAGGTAGACCGCCACCGGTATCAATGGGCGGCGGTACACATTTTGATTCTGGATTTTTTTAGTATTTTGCTTTTGTTAAATTAACTTTTTGTGCATAAAATAATACTCCCTTTATCTTAATTTCATGCTCCTTATTTCATTTTGCACAGTTAAAAAAATTAAAATTGTATAATTGAAATTAATATAGAGGAGAGAGAAAAAGGTATGCCACAAAAAGTTTTTCTTCAAAAGGTAGAGAAAGATTAATATGATACGACATAAAAAAAGAAACAAGAAAATTTATTTTGTGAGAAGGGAGTATATGGCTAAAATGCCTATCCAAATGTAGTTTTTTTTACTTGTTAAATAGCTTATTTAAATAGAAAAATGCTTATTGAAGTAGAAAATTAGAGGGAGTACAATGTGAGCTATGGACTGGCCCAGGCTAAGAGGGTTACCGGGGTGTTAGGGATAGGAGCAATCAATTGAATTGGTGTAATAAATTTACACTACTAATTTTGTGTAGCATTACCTTGTGTGTGTGTGAGATGATCCTAGTAAGATGATACCTTATGATAAGATGATATGCTACACTAATATGATGTTGGAGCTCACCACAAACCATTTCAAAGTTCACCACTAATCATTGCAAAGTTCACCACGATTTTCCAATACTTAAAATTTTCACAAACCCCATCAATAAATCTCACTCACTCTTTCTGCAAAGTTCGTCATACTTTAATTTAAGTCAAAAATGACTGAAGACTAAAAAATCAACGTCGTAGATTGGTGATGCTATTTTTTTAACCTTTTTTTAAAAAAGTGGTGAGCTTTGCATTATTCTTTCGTGAGCTTTCCATTGCATGTTGGTGAATTTTGCATAGGAAGTTGCTGAGCTTTCAATTTGACTGCCCATGACCACCGACCATTGCTGGTGACCCCACCGTTGCCGTGGACTGGTGGTTGAACGATTTTTTTGACTTATAAACAGTTTATAGAACAAAAATCAATAAATGTCAACCTTTTAAAGATGGTGGAGTTTATATTGGATCAACCAAAAAAAGTAAAAAAAATTAATTAGAGACGAGAAATATAAAACAGAAATGAATAAATGTCAAAAAAAAGATGAATCCAACCAAATGAAGAATTAACAACTTTTAACTTACACCACATTATCCAATCTTTCAATTAATCACCATTTGGCCAATCAATAATAGTAAATGTATAAAAACCCACCAAAATTGTTCGCACCATTGAATTCTATACCAGTTTATGAGTATTGAAAACAAATCCCACTGATTAAGAGGGAAGTCAAACAAGTTGCATAAACAAATTAAGGATTTCCCCGTATGGAATAATGGAAAGCAGATTCAAAGAACGATGGCGGAAAGATGATTCAATGCACAAGCAGCCATTGACTGAACGTAACCACCTATATAAATCTCTTTCTCTCATCCTCATCTTCATCTTCATAATTTTTTAAATTTCTATCCCACCATTAATCATCTTCATCCTCACATTCTTTGCCACTATACGGATCTCGCAATTATCTTTAAGTCCCCGCTCCGTTCGCTCCTCCGCCATATCCATGGCCGACGCCGCCGCAGACGCCAACATGGACGCTGTCCAGCGCCGCCTCATGTTCGAAGACGAGTGCGTACTATCCCATTCTCCTCTCCCGTCCGTCTTTGTCGCAATTTCAATGCGACCTCTATCGATTTCATTTTAAATCCTGTCTATTTAATTGCGTAGATCTGTAAGGCTGTTAAGTTGGTTTTTTCGATGGAGTAAGTGTTCGTGCAGTTTTCTTCCATGTTCTCTAACGATTTCTGTGGGGATCTGCTTAACTTTGCTCCTCATTTTTGCTTACACGATCCTTGTTTTTGTGTTTTTCATCATTGTTTGTTTCCAACACTCGAAACACTGCAGAAATTAGAGGACAATCTATCCAAAGTCAA